CATGGCTTCTTATGACTATTTCTACTCTGTCTACACATTTAGCATCACTTTAAAAGAACTTGGACAAGAAAAAAGGAATAGAGCTGAGAGCCAGAGTTGATTAAATGTGGACTGCTTAGTATAGTGATCATTGGGCGATGGTGGTAACTGAGGCAGAAACAGCAAAAAGGGGATTTGCTGATGAGATTAGAGAAGGCCTACGCTGTTCCTTTTGTAAATTCTGCTCAGATTTACCCTCCCCGAAGATTTTGTATCAGCCTCTGTTCTGAAGGTGCTGATATCGGGTGCCTCCAGCCCTAGGCATTCTGTCTTTGAGGACACACAAGATTTAAAGTCAGAAGCACTAGGTTTGAGTTCTGGCTGAGCCGCTGTGTCCACGGGACCTTGGACAAAGCACTGAGCCTCTCTGAATAGCCCCTGTAGAGTGTGTGTGACCCCTGCCTCCCAGGGTTGTTGTGAGAACTATGTATATGCCAAAGCGTTTTGTACGTAAAAAGCTTTCTGAGTATCACAGCTACTCGTGGGAAGCTGCACCTCACAAGCTGTCAAATAGGACAGCTGTGGATTACGCTGTGTTCCTTTTTCTTCACTTAGCTTGGCCTTTCTGTTTGGTCAGGTCTGCTTACAAGGGCCTGATGGTGTTGAAATAATGTCACCAGATTTGGGCTCCTTTTGGTCAAAGAAAGGGAACTCGCGTGTCCAGCTGCTTCATCCATAGACTCACAGGCAGAATGGAAGTGAGCAAAGGCAAGTTTAACCCAGGATAGTTCAGAGTTACCTTGGTTTCTCAAATCCAAGGTGACTACAAAGTCTTAAGTAAATGAGAAATAGCTACAAAGATAGCCCGAGGTCATTTATTTATTTATTTATTTATTTTATTCAGGGAACAGGGTGTTTCTCCAGGACCCATCAGCTCCAAGTCAAGTAGTTGTTTCAATCTAGTTGTGGAGGGCGCGGTTCATTGGCCCATGTGGGGATTGAACCGGCAACCTTGGTGTTATGAGCACTGTGCTCTAACCACCCGAGCTAACTGGCCGCCCCTTCCGAGATCATTTAAACCATGAATGGGAAGTGGGAGCATGTGCTTATAAACTCTCCCTCTCTTTTATCCCTTTGGGGTCAAGGGCAGGATATTACTGACATCCCACTGGCTGTTGCCTGAAACCTGCCAATCACTCAAAGAGGATAACATCTTCTGGGAAAGTTCAGTTCAGTGCAGTCACTGTGACGTATTTACCCTGGTAAAGCCACTGTTTGCTCCTCTCTAGTGCCTCTCTTGTGGAGATCATCTCTGGAACCCAAAGCTATCCGGCTTTCTAACCTAACAAGAGGTAAAAACAAACAAAAAAACCAGGTCATGAGCAGCAGGCTTGGTGCAGTCATAGGAGGCTGCCCCACCCTCCACCGCACACAGGGCACGACTCACACCATCTCCAGCGTGAATCAGCTCTGAGAAGTTCTGTCTGAGCCCCTCTGCCTTGGTGCTAACTGTCCACTGCTGTTCCCTTTCTGCCTCCTTCTCTTGCCAACCCCCAGGGGAGATCCGGTTTCCAAACCAAATAGCTGCCTGCATGTTGGTAATATAACTGTTTAATATGCCACGATTATGGTTGGACCCCTGTTGTTGGTATGATTTTTGAAGGATTTGATTGAAATCTAGTTGCTTTTTTTTATTGTTGCGGAGAGGGAGGGTGACTAGAACCCCGATACAGCCTGAGAGAAGCTACGTGTATGTCCGCATATGTGTACCCTCACGTGTGTGTCTATCTTCAGGCTTGTGAGCAGGCTGACAGGGAGGGCAACATGCGAAAAGGAAGCATCTTTTGTTTTCCAACATTGCTTCTAAAATGCCCCACCCCCATATAGCAGGCAGTTCCTAAGTGGAGGGCTGGGGCAGAGGCCTCCACCAAGGCCATCAATAACCAGGTGTGAGCTACAGGTCTCTGTGTAATGTGAAGCTCTCCCGTATTTCATTTCTGCACTGCAGGATTGCTTTCGGAGAGCTCTGTGTCTGGCACCTCTCTCCACAGGCCCAGGCGCCCAGGGTCCCACCGACCTGCTGAGGAATGCATCGCATTGTTCTCTGGTGCTGTAATTTGGCTGCAGGAGCAAGGCTGACGGCCTCCTGGGGATGAGAAACATACTCTCCCTGGCATCCTCCCTTGGGCTTCCGCCCTATGACCACTAAGGGCATTTAAATAAAACCTCAGAGAGGCTGAGGGGAAAAATCCTAATTATCTCTCTCACACTAAGCCAACGTCCTGAGTGGGTCTGAGAATTTGGCAAGGACTTAGTAGTTGGTGTTCTTGCTGAGGGAGGTGAGAGGAAGAAGAAATTAACTCTGCGACAGGGAGGAAGAGAAATGAGGCAGTGAGCAGGCACGAGGCAGACCTACGTACAGGACTTTTTGCAAGCATTCCCTCAGGGCCTGGCAATGTTTCATTCTTTTAAATAACCTGAAGTCCTTATTGCATGTTTTTCAGCATCACTCTAAGGAAGAGTATGGATTAGTGCTACTCCTCAAAGCTAGCAATAACCCCAGTTGGCTCTTATCTGCAGGGCTAGCTTAAGGCTGACATCCGCACTTTTACAGAAGAGAAACTGCTTATAGACTGTGCAGCTGAGGTACCTCAGTCATGACCCTTTTCTAAAAGGTTCTAAGAACCTTCAAGGAGGGTGATAATGCCTTTTAAGTTAACTTTGTATCCAAGTAGCACTTCCCACCTGCGTTATACCTAAATATTAAAAGTTGAACGAAATGAGGACCAACAGGAAGAAAGGGAAGAGGAGCGGGGACAAGAGACTGCTGATCGGAGGGGCAGCTCGGCTGCGGGGAGGAGGGATGGGAGGCGGCGAACTCGGCGGAGCCCTGACTACACCGAACGCAGTTCTCATTTTGTTGCTTGTTCCAAATAAACCCGTTTCTGTTTGTATAGTGCAGCATGGACGCCAGGGGTCTAAAGCCAGTCGGAATGCGGAGGCGAGCTAAGCAGTCAGGGGGAGGCTGAGGCGCGCGGCCACACGGCCTCTGTGGCGGGGCTTCCATGGGCCTCTTCGCTCTCATCCACTTCACCCTTCAAGCCTCTCGCTGCCTAGATAGCCCGCTCTTCTCTTAGCCATTTATAGGAAATGCAAAACTTGGGTCCTTGATGAGTTAGAATTTGGAGCCGGGGAAAGCACAGAGCAGCACGAGATGCCAGAAGAGGCCCACTTCCTCCCACAGGGTAAGAGCTAAAAAAGAACAGGTAGTAGAGCACAGCTAGATTTAACTCAGGTTGATGTCGCCGGGAAGGCCTATGCTAGCATTTAGGTGGGAATGGATGTGCTTCTGAGAGCAGGGCCTACGTGGGACCTGAGGCTCTTCCCAGCAGCCCAGCACACAAGTCAGCACCCTTTCGTAAATTCATTCAACTCTGTTCTTGAGTTCAGACTGACTGTGACCCTCTTACCTTCCCACCACCCTAGGGCTTTCCTCCTCTTAATCCCAGCTCAAGATGTCCGAAGCTCTTCTCCTCCATCTCCCGCCCTCACCCCCGCCATTTCCCCCTCCTTAATCCCGTCATTGGCTCATCAGTTATCCAGTTGCCTCCACTCTGCAAGGAAGACATTCCCTTGGCCTGACTCACTCAGTCCCATTTCTCCACAGGAATCCCCTCACCGCAGACCACAAGGGCCCTGACTAGCTCATGTTTTGTGTTAATGGATGTGAAATTGGAGCAAACCCCCTCGCCAAAAGAAAAACCACCCCAAACTCTCCCACACAGGTCTCAGCAGGTTACGCAAATATTAGTCCTATCATCCAAATAAATCTGCCCTCGTGGCCCAGAACTATGGCTCCTTTCTGCTGTCTGTGCAGAGCAACGCTGTTCCACAAACATGTGAGGACCCCAGGGGATGTCGGGAAGGGACTTGGGAAAGGGGGGGGGTCTATATTCTGAATTCTTTGTGTAGACCCCTTAATCTACAGCCTGCTGTCAATACTTTATAGTCCCGTATTGAAGGTTCTGAGATAAGTCATGATGGGCTAGACCAGTTAGGAGCTTTGATAAGTCTGTTGGCTGTAGTTTGGGGCATAATTAAAACTCAATATCTAAGATAGGTTCATATCCTCATTTTATAGATGAGAAGATAGTGGCTCAGAGAATTGGGGTATCTTGTTCAAAATATCAAAAACAGCTGTGATTTCAACCCACGTCTGTCACAACTGCACATTTCTACACCACTCTGCTCCTTTCAAATATCAACAGGCAAGAGATAACCATTGTTTAAGTCACATGAAAACAGGACATCATGGTTTTGGGGACTCCGTGCCCCACCCCCAGCTTAGTAAGTCTGCTGTCTCTGGAGACTCCACTATGGCAAGCTCAGTTGGGCGGCGGGTAGCAGCACACAAGGAGATCCCCCTATTTAAGCCAAAGATGGAGTGAACAACAATAATCATTAGGACTTGGAGAGTCACCAAAGAAAGATCTGTTGAATAAATGGGGAAAGGCTGCCTTCCAAGCTGTTTAACACGTTAGCCCCAAGCCCCAGCTCTCATCCCTCTGTAGCCACTGGACCCCTCTCCCAGCTTCAAAGGCTAGGATCCTCTCGCTCCTAGAAACTGCCAAAGCCAGAGTTCTCTACTTGCTTGCTGCACACAGATGCCTCACGGGGGCCTTGCGCTCAGGACTGCTGCCCTCTCCACCCCTCCATGAGTCATACACCTTGACTCAATATTTCTCAAACTTGGCAGACCCAGAATAATGCATGAAAGCTTAAAGAATAAAATCCCAAGGCCTAGGCAGACTTACTAAATTACCCTTTCTCAAGAATGTTCCAGGGTATCCTAATGATCTGTTAGGTGTGGGTATCACTGCCTGCCACTCAGTTTGAACAGGCAGAGAGTGAGCAAAAGAGGCAGTGCTGTTGGATATGGATAGAAAAGAAGAGAGGGGGCCGGCCGAGTGAAACAGTTGGTTAAGAGCTCGCTCAAGAGTGCGAGCTCTGAGCAACAGCGGTTCAATGCCTGGCCCGAGCTGAGCTGCCAACAGGTGGCAGGATGGCTCAGCTAAAAAAAAAAACAAAAAACAAGAAGAGAGGGACTGGAAGAGAATGTGTTTGTATAGTTATATAAGTTTTCCCCTACTAAACACAGCAGTTTATAAACATATGAGTGTATGACTGGCACCTTGTCCACCGTAGCTAACTCTTACCTAACTCTCCATAATGAAAGAATGTTGTAGCCTAAGCGTTTTTTCGGGGGTACTAGGCCTTCTGCTCAGACTGACCCCAGGGAGGAGATACGTGGTTTCATCTGGGTCCCATCTAACCTCAGCCAGGTAGGAACAAAAAAATCTCTCTCCAGATACTCTTCCTGTTGCGCACACACAATAAGTGTCAGGAAGCCCGTGCAAAGGAAAGGAAAAATGAGCCTGACCACGTGCTTTAGTGCAACTCACATCACTCCGAAGACCCCTACAACCTCTTCCACTCTCCCTTCCAACCTCCAGAGCCGGTTAGGCAGGGAGCTGCTCAGTTTCTTACATCCCCTGTCAGCCTCCCAGGGCTCAGGAACCAACCAGGACACCGGAATCCCTCTGGATTACTCTCCAAGTCCTTAAATAGAAACTAGCAGCCCAGGGCTGAGAGCGGAGGAAGCTGTGCATGCAAAGATCTTGTGCTTTTGAGTCAGGAGGTTTGAAGTGGAGGGGTGAGTGAGGTATGTATATGTTCAGGTCTGGTCCAGCCACTCTGCCTTCTTGGGGGCCTTGCAAGTATGGACGTCCACAGTGTTTCTGCACTCCTTGCACCGCACAGCACAGCACCAGTGGAATTTGCACTCACACTGGGTGACACGGGTGACTCGAGTTGTGTCATACCCTCGGCCGCAGCACATAATCTCACAGCCGTCTGTCCCTTTTGATGACTTGCTGCAGATACGGCCTGCAGTGCCCAGGGAACCTAGGTTGGAGAAGAGAGAGAGTGAGAACGAAGATACCTCTTACCTCAGCTGCTCTGGGTTTCCTTACCCACATCCTCATGAGGAAACCATAAAGCAACTCCTTTCCTAAAAATATACCCACTAGCCACAGTGATCGTCTCCTCCTGGGCCTCCACACCAGGCTTGTCTCTTCCCAATATCGAGGCTCCCCAGAGACCTTGACTCTACCTGCAGTGCCTTCTCTGCCGATACACATCTCCGGATCCCCCTCAAAACCTCACCTTAGGATGTTCATGATTGTTAAAGCCGAGTGAGGACTCTACTTCATGTTTGAATTTTTCCATCATAAAAAGTTTAGAAAAATAACACCTATCATTTATCTTTTCCAACAAGTCTTGCCAGAACACTGTTACAAGTGCTACCACTTAAAAAATGGTACCATTTGTTAGCATTTTGGCCCTTAGTTTATATTTTATTAAGTTGTACCATACACGGAAGTAGTAGAGTAGGGCCGTTGAAAGTATGACATCAGAGTGTCTAAATTGGGACGTCAGTGGTTTAAATCCCAGTTCTGCCACTTCTTAGCTGTGTGATTTAGGAAGTTAGTTAATCTCTCTAGGCTTTAGTTTTCTCATATAAAAGTAGGCATAATAATAGCATCTAACTAAGTGGACTGTTATATCTATAATCTCTGTTCAGCTGAGGCAGTGAAATGATTAGTATGACTGACTGGAGGCGTAGCTCGAAGGAATTCATAAGGAATACCGCTTGCCTTAGCCCTTACAGTGGGAACTCTTGAAGTGTAGAGAGGATGCTATCCCCCTGCACAGAGAATGCTCAGGACCTCATTCTGACTGATTTTAGCAGAGGAGATCCTCTCAACGGATCATATAGTCATTGGATTTTGGAGGGAGGGATCGCAGACATCTATTCCAACCCTTTCTCAGAGATGGGAAAGTTAATAGCCTGGAGGTCCAGAAGGGGGGTTTCTACAGCAGTAGTCTCCACATTCGCTGGGATATAGGAAATAACGCTAGAATTTCATTTATATTTTTTTAATTTAATCAATTTAAAATATTTTATATTATCTATAATGTACATATTTGCACAGTGGAACATAGATATAATTTAGAAGTAAATATACACATATTGGAAGCACATGCTCAGAACTTTTTTGTTCACGATGGGAATATACGATCCACAATGTCAGGAGACCACTGCTCTCGAGTGTGGGCTGACTGACTCTCTTATATGTCACTCTTCTAGCTCCAAGGGCGGGCTTCTAGGTCCTTCCAGGGCACTGGAAGCCTCTTCTACACCCTGGAGCTGACTTATCCAGTGCAGTAGCCACTAGCCAACTGTGGTCATTTCGATTTAAAATAATTAAAATTAGATAAATTTTAAAACTTAGTTCCTTGGTCACACTGGCTATCTATTTCACTTGAAATAGATAGCCAGTGTGACCAAGGAACTAAGTTTTATAATCCCCTTTGGCTAAGTGGCTACCATATAAGAGAGCACAGACGTAAAACGTTCCTATCATCAGAAAGTTGAGTTAACGGTCCTGCTTTGGAGGGAATTCCTGGCACCATACTCCCTTCTGGGATGACTTGGACCCTTTGAATTCCAGGCCCTATTTTGGGTGTTATGAGACTTAATTTTATGCCTCTGAGATAAACTAACACACATATGAGCCATCCTCCCGCCCAACTCCAAAGACCCCTCCCCAGAGGTGTGTTTCAGGTATGGTAACACAGGCTCCCGCCTCAGATCTTAGGGAATGATTTCCAGGCATTGGGAGAGTAGCCCTCTCAATTATACCACGTGGGAAGAAAACAGAACCTAGTGGGAGGGCATTACTAGGAGAATCGGGTGGGCTCCCTCAGCCTTTTTTCTTCTAGCACCCTCCGAAGTACACAGACTACTTTCTCTGTCACTTGGGTAGAGCCCCACCCTGTTTCTGTGCCCAGTTTTGCTCCAAACCACTTGACTCTCCAGGAACGGCAGTGATGGGTGAAAGCAAACAGTGCAGAGGACAGCTGAGGTTTCTGACTCCACCTCACCCAAGTCCTGACCGCTGAGTCTGCAGAGGAGTCTGGGCACCCATGACAGTAACCAGGGGAGAGCAGTTCTGCGGCGTAGCCTGTGGGTCCGAGTTTAACCTATCTGAGCCTGAAAATGAGCCAGCATGGCAACTTCCAATCTTTTGGGGGATACCATGTCACCTCCCAACAGTCCCAAGAATTCCACCGCACATATCGGGAACAGACTGAAAAACAACCATTTGCTGCTTTCTGGTAGCATTAGCCTTTGGTCGGGACCTCTTCTTCCCCTACTTCCCCAGTTTTAGAATCTTCTGTGGCAGCACACTGGATTAAGCCTTTCAAGGTCATTCATGGGCAGATCCCAGCCCATCTTTCTACCTTTCATCTCCCTTATGCGAGACCTTCACTCAGATTAATCTCCTCTCTGTTCCTGGAACAGATCAGGTACTTTCCCACCTACCACTCTGCTCATGTGTAGACGCTATCTGCCTGTTCTCTCTAGCTATCGAGATAATCCTCACACTCCAAGAAACAGCGGATGTTCCACATTTTCAAATCAGCTCCTCTCGACTTCCTCAGTCATCTCTCTTTGCAGTTGCATCTGTCTACCTGTTACATCTCATTTCTTAGCTAGATTGGAAAGAGCCAGAGATTTAGGGCTGCACCTTATGCTTCTGTATAGCCCACACACTGCTCAGTGCTGAGAATGGGTGACTCATTTAACACTTACTGAGCAGTGTCTGTCAGTCCTGCACATCACACCTCAGGCCTCAAGGGGCTCAGTGGCCTCTCCTCTCTGCTTGGGCAGCCCTGGGCCTGGCTGACTAGGGCATATCTCATCACAAGGTCTTCATGTCAGGAGGAGACTGACTCCTCCCCTAGCACCACCTCCTTACCTCCTGAGGCTGAATAGACCTAGAACTATGGCTCCGTGTCCCTATCTGCTTTCCTTACCTGCAGCCTTGTCCAAGACACAGTAGTCTGGGGAGTTGTCAAAGTAGACGAGGTCGGTCCGGGTGGCACGGCGATAGCCTTGGCGGGCTGCTGTGAAGTTGGCGCCATCCTGGGTGGCTGTGACCTGCACAGCTCCATCATAGCGCCGCCGCAGGTAATCACCTGTGCGGCGGAAGTCTGAGAGCGCACGCCAGCAGGTGCGCAGAGTACAGGAGCCACTCACACCATGGCACTTACACTCCAGCTTCAGAAACCGCCGCACAGCCTGGTAGGTAGGAAGGCAGGGAAGGGAGAGGCAGCTGGTCAGGGCACCTGGTAGTCACCCCTACGACTAAACATGTGTGTGCCCTGAGGTCTGCTGGGCCTGCGCCTGGCCTGGCTAGTGGGGCCACTGGTTTCTCTCACCCCCATTAGATCCCACTCATTCTCCCTGATCAAATTCAAGAACTTCTAGAAAACCTTCCTGGACCAACAGTCTTTACTCCTCATGACAGGTTGTTTGAACTTTAGAGCCACAGGATTCTGTTCATGATTAAGTATGCCGGCACGCCCTCTAGCTCTCAAGGGTTTTAGAGTCGGGGTGTCACACCTTCTACTTTTGTAGCATGTCGTTTTCCAGCACAGGACAGGGCACATAGGAGGTGGTCAGTGAACTGACTAGAACAAGCTCTTACCCTCCTCAGTCTTTTACAGAGGCATTTTTTTTTTCCTTCTTAAACAGTTAGTTGCCGTCTTTTCTCTGCTTTTCCCTACTTTCCTCCTGTGTGAAGACTATGCACCTGGCTGAACCCTTGCAATTACTGCTCCTGTCCCGGGGGTTGGGGCTTTTGTAAGTGACCCAGAAGCCTTCAGCACTTCCACCTTCACATTTAGTCCATGGTCACACCAACGGGTCACCCCCCAGCCGATACGAATGCACATGCACAGACATGGGTACTGACCGTGCGACCACAGCGGTTGTTGTGTAAGTTCATGAGGGCCCGGGCATCCTTCAGCCTCTTCTCCTTGGCATCCACGAAGGCTTTGGCAAAGCGAACGCCATAGTGGATGTTGTCACTGCAGCCACCCCAGTCAAAGTCCCCTCGCTGGTCATGGTGTCGACCACGGGTGTAGGGGTCGCAGCTGCACACACTCAGTTCACCCTGGCTGCAGGCACGGGTGATAGCGTGGACCACCCCTGCTGAGGAGATGGCGTATACAAATGCTGCCTCCCGGCTACCTGGAGACAGCAAGGCAGAAGTGCATTTCAGGAAAGAGGCCCATGCCTGCCCCCTTCTTCAGCCCATACCACCTCTGACTGTGAGATCTCTCTTTCTCTTTCCCAGAGCAACCCCTGCACCCCCTTTATTCAAGTTGTCCTTTCCTTCCAAGAGCATTCCCCAGAGCATCTGGCCCCTTCCCCTAGCCCTCACCACTCTCTAGCCACTTCTTTGTACATCTGACCTCTTGGGCTGACCTGTACTCTTGCTTCCTTCCAAACTCCCTTGGTCCATCCATTGAAAAGCTTCAGGGTGAATCATCCTCCCCCACTGAGTGCCAACCCTGGCGCAGCTGAGCTTAGTGCACATTCCAGGCCTTTTCAGGCCCATTCTGCTGGACAGTTCCTCCACAGCAGAGACCCTGCCGGGGGGTCAGCCTGCTTGGAGAGAGAGGCTGCTTTCCCTGCCTGCTTTCTTCCCTCGCTGCTCTTGCGGGTTGATGAATCATCACCCCTATCCCCCTGACGCCTCTGGATTCCCATCCCATTCCCTTTCTCCTAGTTTATTGTCTAGCTCTGCTTAGCTTTTTTGCTGAGATGGGGCCAAGCCACCTACTCTCCAAATATTTACATATCACCTTTCTGTTTATCCCTTTCTCCCATTACTGTACTGTGGGGAGTGATGGAGGAGGTAGCGGGGGTGGTGCTAGGAGAGCAGCCATACCTAGTCCTCAGCCTGGCAGTGCATGGCAACCCCCTGGGCGTTAGCGAGGAACGGAAAGGGAGGAAGAAAGATGGAGCATGCTGTTCCTCTGTCCCATCATCCCAGAACGCAGGGACTCAGAGGGGCCCCTGGCTACACATCTGGGGTACTGAGGGTCTGTTCCCAACGGTGTGCTGGGCTCTGCCCACAGCTGTTCCTCTGAGTATGAAGTCGTGAAGGAGAGGAGAGAGGGGATTCTGCCCGCCCTACCCACTCACCACCCCAAGCACAGAAAGGCAAGGAGCCAGGCAGGGTGGGAGAGGCCCCTACTTCTGAGCATGACACGGCCAAAGACAGTGTGGTCCCGGTCCAGGGTGGTGCAGTTCCAGCGGTGATGGCGGAACTGGTGCTGACACTCTCGGATCCATTCTCGGGCGCCCTCGCCCACTGAGCGCATAATGTCTGGGTAACGCTGGCACAGCTGCCGCTGCCGACTCACCAGACCAGGGATATTGTCACAGATCACTCGGGCCCCCAGGGCCCCGATGTACCTGCAAGGTGGAGATGGCCCTGTCAGAGCGTCCCAGCTCTTGTTCCGCATTAGGATGGGATGGGAGGGGAAAGGTTTGGCACTGGGGCCGTGGACTGGTTCCTTCTCCTTCCCCAATCTGCATTTCCTGAGGCTGATGGGTAGAACCATTCCCCACAAGCTCTGGAGAAATAGTTATATGGTTGCAGAGAGGGTAATTGAGCGGTCTCCCACCATCACCAGTTCCCCAGCCAAAGGCCAAAGTGACACACACTCCCAGAACACAGGCCAGGCATGTGTCACATATACAAGAAGCTGTGGGCATGTCACATAAACCCATTGCCTGTTTATTTAATAAACATTAAGAGCCTCATGGAAAAATAAACTAACAAAACGAGAGTCTGAGACAACACTTTTACACCCACATGTAAGAGGCACGTCCTGTATGGCTGGTCCATAAAGGGAAGAAGGATGGAGACAGGGAGGGGCCAGTGGGAAGAGACACAGTGGGCAATTCTGAGTAATGTTTATAACCCTAGTCAGACCCATGAAACTAAAAGTCCTCGTTCCCCATGCTGAGGTCGGGGAGAAAAACCCACTCCCAACCCTCCTCCCCATAGCTTTTCTTCCCAGGACCCCTGGCTTTTCTTAACTAATGAGTCCTCCTCCCCCACCCCCCAGCCTCTAGGGCAGGATGTCCTGGGTGGACCTGCATGGGCAGAGGACTGTTGCAGTAGGAAGCCAAAGGCCAAAGTAAAGCAAGAGGGGCGACACTCCCATATTCTAGTCCCCTGTTTGCCCAATATGAACAATTATAAGAAGCTCATGTGGGGTGGGTACTAAAAGGTAGGTGGATTGCTAGAGCCCTTCTCACATTTCTCAAGGCCATATTTTCTCTTCACTCAAACACTCAACCCTGGACTCCACCGCAAGCCTCAGGAAGACCATTTCAGAGAGAGGCCAGGAGGGTGTCATCACCTTTTCTCCCCATGAGGCCATCAAATGACCCATTTGCCCACTTCCTACTCCCTTTCCAGCTCTCCAGCACTTTCCTGGATTTGCTGGGAATTCTCTCTTCTCCTGTCCTAACACATCAAAGGACGCCTTCTCTCTCTTTTTCTGAACAGGTGGGGGCCGAGGAGGGCAGTGGCTGCTACAGACGGAAAAGATGTAGTTTGGGCTGTGAATGAGCCGATAGTTTGGTAGTGGCCTCAACATGGGCTTAGAAGTGGGGGAGGAGAAGGGAGGGCGGCCAGTGGGTAAAGGGGGAAAGCTGAACTGCCCTGAGTTCTGTGTCCTCCCCCCGACAATTCACACGCCCGGCCCTCACCCACGGACTGGATCACCACTGGTGACACCAGCTCAAACAAACACAAGGAGGGCTGATGCTTGCCTCTTCTGGAACTCGGCAGGGCTGATGGGGCCCATCTGTCCGGGGGAGGGGTAAGAGGGCTGACCCACCACTGAGAAATCCCATGGAATCAGCGTCCCCAGCACTGTCCATCAGGGCAACAGCTTCCAGGAACAAACAAAATAAACAGCCCGGGCTGGGCCAGGCCGGAAGGGCCGCCTGACGCACAGCCTGGAGTTACACCCACTGCCGCGGTGCTTTGTTTGGAGAATCAAGACCGTTGGAGTTGGAGCCCATCCCTGTCTCACCACCATGCTGCCGCTCCAGTTCAGCCCCGAGTACTGCCTTAGGCAATGGGTGTTTGTTTTTTTTACTGGGGCTTGGGAAGAGTGAGGTTGAATGGGAATGGGAGACCAGTAATCCAGCCCTCATGAGACAGTCTGGAGTGAGGCAGGCCAAACTGGCAAAAAGTCCTTCCTGTGGTCTGACTTAAATCCACTCTGCTGCAGCCCACATTGGTCCTTCTTACATCCTCACTGAGCGTGGGAACATCTGTTCAGTATCTGAGATGGGAAGATAATTCAGTGTCTCCTACTACTACCCTCACCCCACTGAGTAGCTCCTTCAAGATTGCAGAGCAGGGTGCTTGCCTGCTGAGCAGTGGTCAGCCCCTTGTCATCAGTGTGGCCTCCAATAAAACCGAGCCAGAGGCCCAGTCAATCCTCCTTTCAATTCAATACATGCCTGCCAAGTGCCTGCCATGTGCCAAGCACTGCTCTTAGGGGCACAAAGATGTTTAAGGCATCCCCCAGCTCATGGGATGGTAGAGGGGCGAGATACCCCTGACTCTCTAGCTCTGTTGACCCTGCTAGAAGTTGTTGCTTCTTTCCCAGCTTCTAAAGTAGAAGGTTCTCTTCATCTGCTCTTGAAATTCACATCCCTTCCTTTGACAAAGTGACTCACACCCTACTCTATACTCGAGCCCCTTGCGACTCCAAGTGTGGTCTCCAGAACAGCAGTATCTGCATCAGCTGGGGTCTGTCAGAAGTCATGCCTCCCTCCGGCCCCATCCCAGGCCTGCTGAGTCAGACTCTGCATTCTCCCAGCACCCCCAGGCGGTTTGGGCGCACTGCTCCATGCAGGCAGCGGCTGCTGTTTTGTTCACTTCAGTATCCCCAGTACCTAGAACGGTGTCTGACACATAGTAGGTCCTTAACTATTTGTTGAATAGACACCTACCTGCTCTGATTTACCCCCAACTCCCTTCTTCCCCTAGCCAGCCAGAAATTTCATTTCAGTTATAGCTTTACTCCTTGTGGACATCACCAGCCTATCTGCAGATGTTTCATGTGTGTGTCGTTTTAATGAGGCCAAGGATCCTCTTTTTTTCCCCCCTTTCTTTTACAGCCCCTCGTGTACATGGTTTAGCCCAGCCCACATAGGGCTTTGAACACAGGGATAAAACTATCACCCTCCCTGAATCTCTCAATACAACATCATTTATGTGATACTTTACAGTTTATAAAACGTTTTTCTACACTTAAATCCCCTGATAATGAGAGAAAGAGAGCTCTCCATTTTACAGGTGAAGAAAATGAGAGGTTCGGGGAGAGTAAGTGATAATACCCTGCTCTGTCCATCAGAGCGAGTCAGAGGAGAACCAGGTGAACCAAGGACATCTAATCCCAAAGTCCAAGCTCATTTTCATTCCAAGGGCAAGAGAGGCCCATAACGCTTAACCAAGAGTATGCCAATCTGGCTCCAAAATTGGCATGAATTTGAGTTTCTTACCACTCCCCTACTATCCCTCACTTTCTTCATATGTGAAATGGGGATAATAATAGTATCTCCCTCACTGGATTATTTGGAGGACTGAAGATGATGCTCATAAGGTGTTTGGCCATAGTGTCTGGGGCTTAGTAAGGGCGCAGCCGTTGTTGGTAATAGTAACACTAATATTCCTCTCCCTCTGTGAACCCAAGAACCCCGTCCTGCCCTTGTGAGTCCCTACATCCAGCCCCCTGCAGAGTGCAAACTGGAACAGGGAAGCACGGGCCAGGAGCCTCCTGCTTCTTGTTCTGTTTGTCATAGATTATGAGGAAACCATCATTTCCCCCTGCAATTAAAGGTGGGAGGGGGAGGAGCTGCAGAGTGAGGGGAAGGGCTATGAAGAAGAGCAGACTGTTAGCTGGTGACAGTGAGGGCCTTCTGCTCCTGAGTGGAACACGGACAAACACAGCATCTCTTCCAAGGGTTTTTTTTCCCAAGGGAAAGAGACAGAATCCTCTTGGGGGCCTAACCTGCCTTTAGAAAGCAGCTTCCCACTTTCTCCCAGAAGTGATGCCCACTGAGTCAGGCATCGGGGGCCTGCAGCTATGACAAGTATGAAGCAAGGAGACTAAAATACTCATGTCCCATCCTGGCTGCTGCCTTCCTCCATTTCACAGGGACGGCTGAATCCCTCTGCATCACCCGCCTGCCTCCCTAGCTAGCTCTCCTACCCAGGAGTTTTTCCAAAAATCTTTAATATGAACCACGTGGGGTGGGGGGGTGGCGGTGCGGGGAGAGTAGTAGAAACAGAAAGGAAAAGGGAAAGGGAGTAGCCAAGGGGACAAAATGGGGACTAGGAAGAACCCCAGATGGGTCTTTAGGAACCACTACCAGGATCCTGAAACTACCAGACGGTCAGTGCCTCACCTAAACACCAAGTGGTCCCCAAGATAGCCTCCCAAACTGGTAAGCAATCAAGAGTCCCTAAAAGCAAATTGCCACCTGGATGGATAAAGATGTGCAGTGGTCCCTTCATCCTCTCTCTGCAGGGCCACTGAGATGCAAGTCCGCAGCCACACTAAGCCCCTGGAGGTAAAGGGCTGTTTGGAGCCCCCTGTGAACACTGAGAGGCTTTTCTCTCGTCCCCCTTCTTCCCTTTCCATTTCTAAAGGAATGTTTCAAGCCAGATGTCAGATATGGGCCTCCCTGCTCCCCCTTCCAGAACCCCCCCTCCTTGCCTTCTCCAACACTGCAGAGATAAAAAAGATCCAAAAGAGAGATTTTTCTGAAACAGGAAAACGGGGTCGGGGTGGGGGTGGGGGTGGGGATGGCGAGAGAGACGCATCTTGAAATGATAGGAATCTGCGGCCCAAGCTCGCTGGCCCCTCAGCCAGCTACCCCTCACCCTTCCAGCCAAGATTCCAAGTCAAGAGGAGAAAAGCCACAGGGTGCAAGGGGAGAAGAGACCACACTTTGAGGTGGTGGTGGGGTTGGGGGAGGGTTGGGGAGGGGCAGAGTAAGGAAAGGAAGGGGGGCACCGCAAGGGTAGAGAGGGGCAATAGCCCAGTCCAAGAGGCCAGTTTGATTGGGGGGGGAGGGTGAAGAGGAAAGATGAGAAGATCCTGTTTTCAGCCCAGCTCTCCCCCCTGCCCTGCCCTGCCCACCCCCTCAGAAGGTGTGGGAGGAGGGGGGGGCAGCTCTTTCGCCTGAAAGAAAAAGATGAGTGCCATCCTGGACTTGGGGGGAGGAGGAGTAGGTAGGGGTCCGCAAAGGACAGACAGACATCCAGTGGATTTTTAATATCTTTTGCCTCATCTGTCCTCCTGTGAATTGTCTGGAGTCTAAGGCCTGCAAGAAATCTGAGGAGAGGGTCTCAATATTTGGGGACCCCAGAAGCCTCTAGTTCTTGGAGAGATGGGGTCACCTGGGGAAGAAAAAGAAGGAAAACGGGAGGGAGACATGAAGGTTCGAACTGACATCCTTAAAACAGAGGCTGAAGACAAATGCCTAAATTATGCACACGCAAGCATTTTATTATAATCGTGGGAGTTAGTGGGGTCATTTCTGCCACGATTACGTTTCTAAACCTTGCGCGGGGCGCTGCTGCCTCTACAAACCCTTACTGCGTTATGGAGTCGGGTAGACTAGCAAGACGCTGTCAGCCCTCGCCAGCTGCCCCCTTCACCTCCCAGCTGGCGACTTTAAGCGATCTAGGGTTCCTGTTGGATGGCCACCGAAGGCCCCGATGGGCGATTGCTTTCTTGAATCCACCCTGAGAGAAACTCGGAAGATAGCTTTTGCCCTAAAAAGGCTGAGCTGAAATAGAGGGGGCACAGCATATGGGGGTCTGTAAAGCCTCGACCGCCGGGGGTCCTTGTTTCAGATACCCAGCACCCACCTTATCAGGGGTGGAAGGCGCGGCGCTCCCGTCCCCCATTCCCACCTCCGCCGCCATCACTCCCGAACTTCAGTGACAGTCCTGCCCGGCACGTCTCTAACTCCGTGGAAACGACAACCTGGTCTCCTGAGCAGCCGGTACCAGGAGCTGTGAAATCCCTCAGGGCGCCTCCGGCCTCTCTGACCCAACGCCTCACCCTCCCAACCCTGAGAGCCACACTCACCACCAGGACGTGTCTACGCGGGCCGGTAGCGTCAGCAGCAGAAGCAGCAGCAGCAGACAGGCAAGACTTAAACGGGCCGACGCCCGGGAGCCGTCGGGGGCCGGGGGTCTGAGCGCTGGCGCCGAGGGAGGGGCGCGGGCACGCCAAGGGGAGAGCTGCGCGGCGTCCTCCGCACCACCCTGCCTCAGCATAGCTCCCCAGAGACTCCCGCCGCTCGGCCCGGAGGGGCGTGGAAGCGGCACCGGCTGGGGGCACTCAGGCTGCTCCTACTCACCCCCCTGGGGGGCCATAGGCTCGCCGTCGGCTGGGGACTTAGGGGCACCTGGACTCCAGGAGCCGGGGCGCAGGGACCGGAGAGGGTCACAGGGAGCGGTGTCCGGAAGCCGACGATGCCTCGCCGAGCACGGGGACTGGGGTGCGCTGCTTGTGCGCGGGGTGCAACGCCAGGGGGTCCGCGGCGCGGAGTGGGGCTGCTGGCAGAGTGTGCGGACAGCCCCTCCGGCCGCGGGCTCTCATTGGACGGCACGGGGCGGGGCCGAGGCCGGGGACACGCGCGGCCCTCAGGGCGGCTCCGCCCGCGCAGCCCCGGCGCTCCACTGCGCCTTAGGTGTGGCGGCCGCCTCCGCCCCTAGGCGCCCGGGCGCAGCACCACCCCGCGCCCCGACCTGCTTGGGCGGGCTGCGAGGGGCGCAGTGGCGCCCCTCTGCGCCCCGAGCGCCCAGTCCTTGCCGACGCCGCGCCACCGGGTCCTAGCGCCCTTCATGCAGCAACCCCAACTTCCGTGGGCGACTGCCCCGAGCGCGGAGCGAGGGGCACTGCAGACACCCCCCCCCCTCCCGTCCGCTAACCTACGGTAACACTGGAGCTGAGCACACGGAGAACGCACTCATCTCCCCGGCTCCTCTCCGTTCCTGCGCTTCTGTGAAATGGGTAGAATCTCTGCCACGGGAACTTGGGGGAGAATCTTTACTCCCTTTTCAACGGTGCCAACAGGGGCGCCTTGGGCAGCCGGCTTCAGGCAGGAGCTTCTGTGCTCCAGGGCTCATTGCCCCTGGTTCCTCCGACCCACGGCACCCCCCAAACAGCGTTTAGACTTGGCTCCTGCCCGCCCGCCGGTCCCCCTGCCTCCCTCCGGCCTGTAGCCCTGCAATCGACGTCCGAAGACGAGTGGGCACACCTGCGGGCCGGACGCGGACTCCCCGCCCTTTAGCGCCGGGGCTCAAAGCTCAACAGAGCTTACTCTCCCTCGGCATCCCGGGTGCCTCGGTCCCCCACCCCATCGGGAGGGGCTGCGAGCACGGAAGAATCAGAAACAGCTGGGCGGCTTTCCCGAACAGAGGGGTGGGAGTCTTGCTGAGAGAGTGGAAGCCCCGGAGCCATTTCTCTCCCTCGCCTTTCCACCCTTCCTCTTCCCCGCAGCTCCCCCGCCCATCTTCGCACACCGCCTGGGGGCGTGGTAAATCGCGCAAGGGTGGTAGGTGCTGACTGCCGAAAGTGACTCCCCTCTTCCCCACCCCCCACCGCACCTCCCAGGCTGACAGGTAGAGCCTCTGGGGGCACAGCGGCCCTTACTGAGACGTGGAAATTCTTTTCAAAGCTCTGGTCTTCCAACTCCGAGTTCACCAGGTATCTGGTCCCAACCCCTTCTCCGGCCTCGGTTTCTCCCGCCTAGCCCCTCATCCCAGGTGTCTTTGGCGCCTATCTATCCCCGTGATTTATCTAAACTATATAGCTCTGGTGTAAACAACGCGCTGGAAACTGCCCGCCCCCCTCAACCCCAAACTCACTGTCAGTTCGTGGTTGGGGGTGTTAGAGACGCTGAAGTGTGAGCGGACAGGGAGCAGCTGGCTGCAGGGAAGCCGCAGACATCCCCAAGGCAGAGACGAAGAAGGGCTCCCAGGGATCGTTCTCTCTTCTCCCCACCTCTTCCTCCTTTCCCTCACCGTCTGTGGCAGGGGGCAGAGTGCGTTCATTAATCAAACCAATATTTGTTTATTCCCTACCATGTGCTAAACTGGAGAACGCAGCAGTGAACAAAGCAAAACAAACCAATTTTGCCCTCATGGAGTTTACCTTCTATTGGGAGAAGATAGACAATAAACAGTAAAACATATACTGTGTTAGAAAGCCCTAAGTACTGTGGGGGAAACGTCGAGTTGCAGCTAGGATGACCCAGTAGGCTTCATTAAGGTGACGTTCAAGTCAAGACTTGAAGGAGGCCTGGAAGAAGCCAGGCAGCGGTTGGTTAAGAGCATCCCAAACTGAGGAAACAGCCAGCTCACAGACTCCAAGGTGGGAGTGGGCCGGTGTGTGGGGTTGAGAAGGGGGCCAGCCCGCTGGAGCAGAGGGGCCTAAGGAGGAGAGGAGTTCAGATAGGCCAGGTCGTGCAGGGGAGAAGATGCCCGCCTTTGTGGGGGAGAAGGTGGAAAAGGGCTGGACTGGACTGGACTTGGATGGGAGTGCGAGAGGGTGGAATACAGAGACCAACCAGCTGCCCCTTCCCTGGCCCTTCTCTCCTCTCTCTCGGTCTGGGACGCTCCAGTCAGCCCTTCTGTTTCCTAAGGAAGCCGCAGACTGTGCTGAGCTCCCCTGAGAGGGGCAGGTGAGAGGAGTGGGCGCAGGCTCGTTCCTGGTGGGGCCCCTTTTCTTGGACCACTCTCACCTCCTCCCAGCCCAGCCCCACCCTGATGCTGGGCAGCGGTCTGCAAGCTCTGGCAGCCTCTCCCAGACTCCCCTGTGTGCTAGGCCTGGGTGTGACTCTGGCCCTGTGTTTATTTCTACATATGGGCCTGAGGTTGCAGGGTGGGGACCTGAAGATGATCACATCAGCCCTAACCTTGGGTGGACTCGCCCACATGGGACCCAAACTCACTTACGAGGCCCCTTCCTTGGCTTCAGCTGTCTCTTTATAGTCAAGTGGGACTGTGTCTTGGCACAACATAGATGCTCAACTATGTTTGCAGAGCTGAGGGGGCCCCTAGAAACATCAGCAGCTCTAAAAGGGGGGAAAGTGGGTGAGGGAACAAGCCTTCTCCCCAAGGCTTCCGGACTACTTCTGCCATAGAGTGGGCAACCCAGGATGGGGCCTTGTTCCTTCTTCCTCTTCTTCCCCTCCCCGCTGAGCCCCCAGCTCCCCAGGAGGAACCCCAGGCTGCAGGAGCCAGCTGACTGCAAGAGCTGCACTCAACCACTTAACTAGAGAACAAATACGGAGCCAGAGAAGAGGTTTTCTGGGATCTGCCACTTTGGAGCTTCAAATCTCAAAATAAACTTCCAGTCTCAAGGTCCTAGACACCACTGGAGAACTTGTCTCCTCACGCAAGGGCCTGTTGGGGGGCTTCCAAGCAGAGGGTCAAGGCCGGAGGCTCAGCGCCTGACCTGCTCCCCCCTCCCACCCCCATCCCAGTCCACCGTCATGGGAGCCAGGGGAAGAGCCGCCGATTTGGGAGTCAAGCTCTGGTCTGGAGGGCCCTGCATGAAGTCACATAGGCACTTACTGAGCACCTGCTGTGTGCCCAGCACTAGCCAGGGCATCCTAAATGACCCAGAATGAGTGAAAGGGTCCTATTTCTAAAGCATTTTCTTGCAAATACAAGGAAGCTCTCTGACAGGGTGGCACACTAGGTTTGGCTGTTCATGGCTGCAGGCTGCAGATGTCAGCAGAGACCTGAGAGAGAACCCCAGGGCCCCCCACCCCACCCCAGGTCCTCAGCAGGACAGCTGCCACCCGGCCAGCAGAGCCAGCTCTGCCTTCTTCCTCAAGGTGGCACCATAGCCTCCTGCCCTCTCAAAAGTGGGTGCTCTCTCACCCTTGATATCTCACTTAATACTCTGCTCCCCCACGGGGCTCCTTAGAGTTAAGATTCGTCTTCTTGCACTCTTTTCCAGCTCCGTGTGACTGAATGATTTTGAATTTCTGCTGGCCCTTGGATGGGAGTGGAAATAAGCTCAAGGAACTTGGGTGTGGGTAAACAGCTCTTACTCCTCGGGGCCCCCCCCCCTCCCAGGAGGCCCCTCCTTCCCTGGGCCCCTTTGGCGATGACCTTCTGTCTTTCCCAGTGGGTGGGAGGTGATGTGGATGGTAAAGAGCAGAGAGAAAGACTGAGGAGGGGCTGGGGGGAGGTTTGGATGGGAGTCAAGGAATTCCTGCGCCTGCTGCTTGCATAAGGGGCCCTGAGCTGCCTTTCCTGAGATTTCTTTGCAAACCAAGGCGAGTCTCATTTGACATGAGGCCAGGTTCACACAGGCCCCCAGTGCCCAGCCCCCTGCCCTCTGGATCCGTCCCCGGCCTCCCCGTGCAGGTGTCTAGGGAAGAGACGGGAGCTTGGGCTTTAGACGGGCTGCGGTGGGGATCCATCTTTGTACATAGTCTGACCAGCCTCTCCTTGGTATTTACGGGCTCCTAGGCGAGGCGTGGAACGTGTCTCAAAGAGGCCAGGCCAAGAGGCCTTTGGAAGGAAGCATCCAGCCCCAAAGCAGGGAAGGGGGCTTGGGAGGGCAGGGACCTGCTTCCTCCCAACCAGTGGCCGGACAGGGGTAGACTGCTTCGCAAGGGGCCCAGGAGAAAGGAACAGCGGAGCTGGGGGAGAAGGGGCAGGAGGGGAGGCTTGGGAGGCGGGGCCCTGGGGGTGGAGCCTTTTAGCACTTCGGCTGTAATCAGACTGGAGCCAGGCGGTGGGCGGGCTGACAGCCTTCCCGGGCGGGTGGCCCAGGTTCTGTGTGAGGCCAACGGGGCGTGCTGCTGGGATCCTGGGTGGTCACTGACCAGCCTAACCCCAAGGGGAGATGGTTCCCACTTTGCCCCCAGCCCCCCTCTTCCAATCTACTTGTATGAAATAGACTAAGCATGGACTCTCTTTCTCTCCCCACCACCTGTTCTGGGCCCCAGAATGATCTGGAAGTGAGACTTCCTTCCAATGGACACAAATCCGCAGAGCCCACTATCTGCGTCCCTCCCACCCTGCCTTCCTTGGTTCACGTGCCTCTCGCTCTCCTTGTGTCTCTTCTCTGTGTCTCTCTGAGTCTGTCTCTCTGGCTCATTTCTGTCATTCTGTGTCTATTCCTAGCTCTCTGTGTTTGCCTCTCTTTGTGTCTTTGTCTGCCTGCCTTTCCTCCTCCGTCTGAATCTCTGTCTCCTTATCAGTCTTTGTCACTTTCCATCTTTTGGTGTGTATCTGCCTGTCTCTCCATCTTTCTTTCTGTATGAATCTGTAGAACTCTCCCTCTCTCTCTCTTTCCTTTCACTCTCCCCATCTATCTCTCCATGTATTTTCTGACTCTGTGGCTTTCTGAGTCTCAATCTGTGTGTGCGTCTGTGTTCCTCTCTGTATTTTTCTCGGTGTGTATCTTTGTTTCTTTTTGCCTCTTTCTCTTTTTTCTTGCCTTCTGTATTTTCTTGCCTAATACAGTCAAAATGCATTAGACGGAAAGAAATCAGAAAACCCGACTTTTCCCCCCACTCAGCTGTGCATGATTTGCATGAATCGGAGGGTCACTGTCCAACTCCTGGCCTCAGTCTCCTCACTGTTGAAACAAGGAGGGTGGAAATCTAGTTCCTTCAGTGAGGGCCTCTTTCTGTCTTGTGTCTTGTAGCACAGTCCACCCCACTTTTCATGGCCTCTTCTCTGCTCCCTGAATCTGACCCTGAAGTCAGGACCTCGGCATCCGACCAACCCCAGTGGGATGGAGTCTCTGATCCTGTCAGCCAACAGGCCCCCAAAGGAGGACTCCTCACTCCTTCACCCCCTTAAACACCAGGGGAGACAAGGTCCCTTTCTGGGGCCATGTCTGGGATACAAACCAGATTAGCTCATCTCACTAATCCTCTTTGTGCTGGGGCCTCTGCCAGGCAGGGACACCCACAGCGCAGAGGGAGGGTGTGTGTGTGAGTGAGTGTGTGTGTGTGTGTGTGTGTGTGTGTGTGTGTGTGCAGCTTCTCGGAGAAGGGAGAAGGCAGGACCAAGGTTCTCCTCCCTCTGCTATGCCCTCCTGCTTGAAAAGCCCACAACAGCCGCCCTCACCGTATAAGAAACCTCATTAGGCTTGAGCTATAGAAGGGTTTTCATAGTCGCAGTCTGCCTCCCAGCCTCCCACCCCCATCTTTTCTACAGCTTCACTGGGGCTGGAGAAGTCATTTTAGCTATCCCCCTGTTCCTGAACAGCCCAGAAACCACGCCTTCTGCACACATAGCTCATGCATATGTGCGCATAATCTCCTCCAGTCAGTAGAGGAGAAGGGTCCTTTCGTCTCTTCTTGAAAAGCCTGGCGTGTCAGGCAAGGAACAGGGGACAAGAGGGAGGGGGGAACAGGCAGTCCGGATGCTTCACACTCCAAGCTGGAGGCTTCCAGCCCCTCTCTGAAGTTTCATTTGGAGAAGTCT